GTCCGAGATTCAGTATTTTATAAAGCTCCCAGGTGATGGCGATGCTGTGGTCCATGGACCACACTTTGAGTTAGCAGGGTTATAGGTCATATCTCATTTAGGCAGCTTGCTGTGTCTCTATCTGGACTTCCTTTTAACTAATATCAAAATGTTAAGTGATCTGGCCTTTCCCACGTTTTCACTGTCAGCTGAAGGAGTTAAGTGTTTACTTGTTTAGAATTCCATTTACTGAACAGCGTGTCGTGGCTCAGAAGTATTGGGGGCTACAAGATGCAAAGACACGCCCCTGCCCAGCTGGTGTGGCTCAGTGGTTGAGTGTCGACCTGTGAACCGGGAGGTCACATTTTGATTCCAGGTCAGGGCACGTGCCTGGGTTGCAGGCTCGATCCCCAGTAGGGGGCGTGCAGGAGGCAGCCGATCAATGTCTCTCTTTCACCATCGATGCTTCTATCTCTCCGTCTCCCTTTCTCTGAAATCAATAAAAACATTTATATATATATATATATATATATATATATATATATATATATAAAAGACACTTCCTGTCCCCAAGGAGTGACTGTGTAGTGGGGAGCAGGCATGTCCATAGGCCACTGAAGTGCAAATAGGCAATTGCTGAATGAAGATGGATGCAGGGAGCAGTGGGACCCTGGTGGAGGTTGTACCTCACCTGCTCGAAGAATCGGGACATGCAGTAGAGACATGGTGCGTAGAGATCAGAGCGACACCCTCCAGTGTGCTCAGCATCGACTTTCACCCCTGCTTGCCAGACGAACATGATGAAGAACATTCCTGTTCTGACTCATTTCTTCAGTCCAAGGATCCCCACCTACTCCCAACCCACATGTTTTAAGTCTACAAAGATTTCTAGCTCCCCTTCTCCAGAAAACAGGATTTTATAATAGGCCGGATTTCGCCATCACAAGGGCACTCTAGCTTGTATTGGAATTGAATTTAAAAAGGAAATTGAACAGTACCAGTTTTATTATTTCAGTGCATATTTCAGTTGTTAGTCATGAGAAAACATGTGAAAGCCTTGATACTATCTCACATTTGATCCATAAAATAAGAAAAGGGATATTGAGCCCCACGGATGGAGGAAACACTGGCGAGCCACTAGTGAGTTCACATGGTCTCGGGCAGCAGGCTCCCGCCTTGTGCTGATTTTTTACTTTGTGGAAGAATCCCATTCAGCGTGTGAGAAAAAGGAAAGAGGAGGACTTCAGTTGCGGACAGCAACTCATTAATTGCCTCACTCTAAAAGATCATCCCAAGGCAGGAGGAAATTATTGCATTTCCAAGTTTTCGTATTGGTTTCTCAGGTTAAAAAAACAACAACAAAGCAAAACCCAAAAGTGAACAGAGAGTACTAAGATGGGAAGCGTGCTCACCAGCTGACTGGTTGATTGCATGATCGTTAGAAATTCTAGAATCCATTGAGGTTCATAAGCAAGATGTTATTATTCAAATATACCCATAGTGCTTATGACTCGTTTTTCCTCATTTGTGGTTAAATTCAATATTTCACTAAAAACCATTATGTGTCTTCTATAACATTCATTTAACGGAGTCATTTAACTGTCAAGGGCTCCTGTCAAAGTAATTGTTCCAAAATGCTTCAAAATATCAAGAGCTTTTTGCTGTTCAGCTGAGTTTAACCTGAATTACATTTTTTTAATGAAAGGTAAAATAGCACAAAAATTAGCAGTGAGATACTCGTTTACAAGAAGCAGAGTGGCCTGTAGTTGGTTAAATAGAATTTTTAACCACATTTTAAAACCACAAGAACATCCTTTCCTGTCTTTTTAGTAGTGAAAGGGTTTCCTCTCTCTCCTTCACTGCTGAGAGCTGGAGCGGCAGAGCTAATGTGGCTGTCTTAGCGGCGTTTAATATACTGTGGTCATAATTAAACTAGAGAATTCTTAGGGGAGAATTGGCCCTCACTTGAATTCTCCTCTCTCCTAATATGCGTGGAATGAACAAAACGATTGGGAAATGGCTCCTTTCACACTTACTGCATCACAAGAAGCTGTATGGCCGATCTCAGGAGCAAGCTGACTGCCCACCGGTCAGTTTTATACAGTGTTCTTACCAGGCCAGGGGTATATTTCAGCTCTTCTCGGCCTTAGTATCTCTTGCAAGCTTTCCAAGGAAACAGGAAAGCTATTGCCTAAAGTAGGCAGCCCTGCTTTCAGGTGCTAGAGGAAGGGTTACATTTTGTGGTGACTGAACCAAAATTCAGATGTAAACTTGGATTTGTGGGAAGGGAAGGGGAGTAGTTCACAAGAGGATGTCGCCTCATCACTTAGACTCTGAGAGGACACAAATCAGAGGGTTCTTATCAAGCTCTGCTTTACCCTCAGCAAGATTTATTTCCTTCTTCAATCCATCGAGGTAGACAAAATTAAGAATACAGTAGTTGGAAATACCTCATATGAAATTTCCAGCTTACTTTAAAAATAAAACATTCTTCACAATTCTAGATCCTTTATTTGTCCCAAGAATGACTCTATGCTATGTTCCCTTTCCTTGGGAACAGGTATATTAAGTTGTTATAATTGATTATTGCTGAGGCAGAATGAGCCCCTGCTCGAATCCGACACATACTGTTTTTAATCTCCAGGAGTTATTTTGGTAGGTGATTGGCATACTGAATTAGAGAAAGTCGGTGGTATTTCTATCAGCGATGGATTTGCAGAACTGCCCGCCAATAGGTTATGGCAATAGTCATAGACTTCCTAAGGCAAAGGGTTAGTTCAGAAACTTCAAAAATACTCATTTTAGAGATGACTCTCATAAATATTAACCAACGAGAACAGGTTTGAAATAAGTTTTGCTGTTGCTATTTTTAAATTTGAAGAGGCAAAGGAAAATAAATAAGGCATAATAGATCATTTTTGTAAGTCAGTAGAAACACTGATTTTGATTGTCCTCTTTTGTAACGTAAGGTAACCTGAGTCCCAGGCCCTCCCCTTGACTTAACGGGCTATACGATCTTGGGTAAATCATTCAGTCTCTCTGGATTTCCAGCTCCACGTCGGCAAAATAATGTGGTTGCAATAGATGATTTCAAACATTTCTTAGAGCTTTACTATCCTGCTCTTACTCCATTTTCCCAAAGGACTGCACCATTAGGGTGAGAGAACATCTGGGAAGTGGCCCAGCCGAATGCCTTTTCCTTACTTAGTAGGTGTTCAGTAAATGCCAGTTAAAGGGATATTAGGGGAAATGCAGAGGGGAGAGGCCTGTTAGGTATTAGACTTGTTAAGCCCCTGCCACCCCGCCTGACCCACCGTTACCTGTGTCCCCTAGTGCGGCCTGCGCCTGTCTGCGTTCCTCCCTG